TAACATCGACAGAGGCGATGATCACGAAATCCTACTCCTGGACTCGCCGCTACGATTTAGCGCCATGCTTTTGGTATCGCCTAAAACCGGAGCGTTGTACATCTCCCCACTCATCTCTGCCGGAGCGTTGTGCATCACCCCACTCATCTCTGTATATTGTCTAAGTCAGTGGATACACTGATCGAGGAATCGATTGTATCGTATCGATTGGGATCCTTGATTCGCATATGGTTTTTCTCATTTTTCTTGCAAACGGTCGACTATCAAACGTTTTTATTAATTAATTCGGAACTATGAAACGATTTTGCATCGATTGAACTCCGGAAAAACAAAATCCGGTTAGAAACAAAAAAGTGCCGGCCAACTTCACACCAGATTTTTATTTTAATTTTCTAAAAAAACTATTGACTATCAAACGTTTTTACAAGACTATCAAACACTATCGAACGACTATCAAACGATTGGAATAAAAAAAAGGTTAAAAAATAAAAGTTGGCCGGCCAACTTCACGCAGGTTTCTTTGTAACCGATATGTTAATGCACGTGTAGTGGCTACAAAGCTTTCCCCCAATTGTTTAGAATATATCTTATTTATGCGTTAATGACAGACTGAGAATTTGAAAGCGTTGAATTCTGATTTGGGGATAGAAATCGTGATTCCATTTTAATACCTTATTTGAATTCGCCGCTCAATTCTAGTGAGATTATTTATCACTAGGCTGCGACATAACATTTGTTTTATTTCCAATTACAAGGAAGACTTGAACTTTTTCTTGTAAGTAATAGACCATCAATCACCGAGACACGTTTCTACATCGATTTATATAAAAGTCAATTGAAAATATGACGATGGAGGGGCTATTTGAAAAAAATTCTCTAGCCAAATTTGTTTTTATAAATTTATATAAACAAAGAACCATCAAACGTTTAGAATAGTGCATCATTCACCGACAAACGACCAACAAACGATAGCGAAAAAAATTAGTTCGGTCGGTTGTGATGAGGGGCTAACTTTATGGAGCTTACAAAGAATATAGGCATGGGCTATTTGTTTATTGCTATCCTAGCCGAGAGAGTTTCTCAGGAACTCTCACTCCTGGCAATAAATCGAGTCACTTGAGAGGATCGACGGGCTAGCGGAATGTTCTTCTTCTTCTTGTTCCTCTAGCGGAATGTTCGGTTAAGAGATGACGCCGTCCATGTGCTTCCCCAAATAAACTGAGGATAGGGTGTGCATAAGCCCTTTGTGCGTAAGACAAGGCACTCGATCTTGGGCCCGGACAGCAAGGTGATACACGCTGGCCCTCCACAAAGGGTAGTACATATGCATGTGTATGAGTGCGGATGCATGTATGAGAAGTATGAAGGACTGTATCCCTTGGGATCCAGAAGACCAGTTCAATTTCTGGTCTTGAAGGGTGTACTTCGAGTCTATATCGTAGAGTCAATTAGCTAGATTCAGTTAAAATAGATTAATTTAGACTTAATCACATTATAATTAAAGTAAATAAAATTAGTTATAGTGCTCTCCAATAGCACCTGCATTTTTATTTCTAAAGCCTTTATTCTGTTGAAAACCCATAACATCATCGTACCAGAAATCAACTTATATACAGATGATTGAACACCGTTGAAGCGTTGAGTGTAGATAGGTATAGAGATGCGGAGGACGTGGTGGGGGTATGTCAAGCATATACTATAGTAAAATTTTAGTTCCAATCCCGGCGGGTAGATGGCGTCCCGAAAATCCCAAGCTATCTTGTGGCGCTGCGTAGGAGTGGGGATTTGTACTAAAAGAGACTGTAGCGCGCACGCGCAAATTGTTTGCAAGAAACAACCACCATTTGCTCCGAGTGACATTAATAACACAAAAAACATTCTAAATAGAATTAATGATCGAGAAATTGTAGGATTTATCACGTGTATCAAAGATCATATAATAGAAACGAATTTCAGTGTTATAACTCTTATTGCTTTCTATTGGGAATGTATATTTTCGGATCGTAGATCACATATGCAAGTGCACCTAAATAAATATGAAATCATTTTCTTAACTAACTATGTGTTACTTTACCTTACTTTAATTTTTAGGGTAGCTTCTCATTTATTTCTATTAATAATTTAGATAACATGAACATACGAATGCATTTAAAGGAAAATCGTGCATATGGTTTATCTGTCAATTATGCGGTAGAGCAAATGACTTAACTACTGAAATACAAGTTCCGAAGAAAGTATAAAAAGTACATGATGCTGGTCGATAGGCAAGGCATTGGGTTAGGAGGCTAGAG